TTACTGTACTTGAGTACTATGAGAAGTGAGCATGTAACAAAGTAAACTTTTTCTGGAGTACTTTTACTTGGAATGAAGTCGTTTTAAGAAGTAACGTTCTACTTCGTTATTTTCATTTTGTGGCGAAGTATTTCGTTACTTTCTAACTTTTATTTAATTTTTCTGATATATTTTAATTTCGGGATGTGTAATACGACCTCTACATGCGTCTGGGATCTCTCGTTTGTGACTTACTTATAAGCATTATTTACTTAATGGATTTCTTATATCTTCAACGGGGACTGCAAAGTAGACCATGCCATGAAATATTGTATATTCGGTACACGCATATAATGCGTGTGCTGTTTTGTGTCTTTTGTATGTCAATCCATTGCAGAAGTCCCCAACCCCCCCTCTACGCGCTATAGACAATTTTACTTTTACTTTGTACTTCAAGTATTTTTTAAGGATACTTTGTACTTTTTACTTAAGTACGTTTTGCTTCCAGTACTTTTTACTTTTACTCAAGTCGTTTTATTGTTAATTACTTGTACTTTTACTCGGATACAAATTCAAAGTAATTTAAGCACCTCTGCTACGATCAGCGGTCCAATGATGCACTGTAAAATAACCAATAATTGTCTCAGCTAGATGCATTTTCTTTTGACCAATATAAATTTTTGGTTATATTTACCAATAAAAACTGTTTTGTAGTAAGGGCATATAAGACAACCAATTCAAATTGGTTATTCTAACCAAAACTGTCTGTACCATTGTAGGTAGTACCAATGTAAAAATGCTGTGCTGAGTGGTTATATTACTACCTTAAAAAATAAGCAGAAACTCGACGTTTCGAGCGAAGGCCCTTCGTCAAGAGTTAGTAGCAGGGATGCCATTTTAACCAATCTGTTTTTACAGTGTGTGTCCGGTATGTTTGATGCACTGTCATTCGGTCCAGTGATGAAATGGAAGGAGTCCGCTGACAAGAGTACTGGCGGTGAGTATCAGAGGCTCGTTTTCGATAAGAGACTGTTGTTTCTATTTCGAAAATTCCGTGAAAAGGTAGTCGGTATCGTCATGTACTAAACCGTCAAAGGCGGTTGCAAATACGCTATTACCACACGAATTACATCGAAAAGCCGGAGTTCCGATAGGCTCTTGCGGTTTAGACGAAGTCCAACTCTTTAATTCAAACATATTTATCTGAGTTATCAATATCGTTTCAAAAGAACATCAACACACGGTCATTTTGAATATTATCAGCACAACCATTCAACTTGGATGGTAAATATTGGTTTAAAATTAATTGCCATTACCATTCAACCTAATTCAATCATAACCATGGTTCACTTTAATCGAACTTGCGCATGAACCAAACTTGTCCGTGATTCAGAACGAGGCCGGTGACGAATAGGTATTTCAAGGAGACAATACGTGAAATGAGTTTTATACGGGTGAACCTGCGAACTCAACCGTATTGACAAATAACTTCCAAGGCTACGATATTTATTATATTCTTTAATATTACACGGGAACAGTGTTGTTCGCGAAGTTATCATGCGCGTTGTTTACAACAATGTTATGATAAGTAGCGCAATAATATTTTCTGTTCTATCCCTGGACTACTTTGTTTCCAATTTCTAGCGTCACCGCGGCGTTGCCGTTGGAACTATCGTAAAAGGCCCT